ATCCACCTACAAAATCCTGTTACACAAAGTTCAGTTTCACAGAGGCACTCTGTCAAGCCTCTCAGGAACAGATTCCAGTTTTAGAAGCATGTAGCAAGTGTATCAGCCTATTCCTCACCCCAAAAGCCTCTGCCCAACACAGCAACACTCAGAGGGTGGCACATCTGAACCATGAACTTGCTCCCAGTGCGGCAGCTGATTGTATCTGGTATTGAGAACACAGCATTGCTTTCATGGAATTCCAGGCTGTTTTCCCAAATATGTTAATGCAGTATTGGAAGAAAAAGAGTGGAATTAGTAAAATGAAAGTACATACAGAAAATGCCACCACCACAAGCAGCCTCCAACGGTGTTTGCAACTTAAAGAAAGGTTGTGTAAGAAGCTCCCACAGCTTAAAGGTCACTGTGATGTGGACTGCCTAGCACAGAAACAAACCGCCTAACAACATTCCCTTTGCCTTCATCCATGCAGCAAATGTATTCTTCCATTTCCACAGCTCCCTTACGCAGTCCTGGCCGTCAAACACTGCAGTGACACACTGCCCCATTGACCTCCCCTTGCCCATAAACCCCGCTGCTGACTGCTTCTTACAGGTGTAGTTGTGATGTCTGACACTGGCTCCAGAACAAATCAGGACATTGGTTTCAGATCAAAATCATCGTCCTCTAAAAATGAATTATGGATCCAAGGAGATCCAGCAGAGGCACTGAGGCAAGAAAAACTGTTATTTGTGAGAACTCAAATGTAACACAAGAAAGTTTTTGCTTGCATACTCTTAAAATGGAAGCCCATCCTCTCCACAAAAAATAGGTCCAGGTCCTCCCACACAGTGACACATGACACCACTCACCTGTCATTTGAAGGCAGCTCAGCCCAACCTAGACTATTCAAAGGGGAACAGATCAAGGAAGAGAAAACCTGCAGGAGAAGCCAAGAACCCAGTGCTTGCTGGGTAGCAAAAAGATGACCCAGGAATGTGATATTATGACACAAATATCATTTGCTAATGGATCACATAGGCAAAAGAAGAGCTGATGGCCCAGAGGACAGATCATGTATAAAGGTACAGCGTATGATGTTGGTGTACACAGGAGGAAGTGCTTTGTCTTCTAGTGAAAAATAAAAACTTAAAAGATGTCAGATTTGACAAATTTGTTTAATCTACAGTATCTCTGTGTACAGCCACTCTACCCTGCTGCAGTCTCAACTTATTATACAGCTTTGGGGTTACTTTGGAGAATTCTTCAGGAAAGGAAGATACCTCCCTCCCCATTCTGATCTTTCAGAGGAGCCATGCAAAAACTTTATATATTGCTGCTATAAGTGCCTCAGTAGTGAACCATCCCTCTGCAGTTCTCAAGGACTGGCTTTGTGCGGGGAATGCCCACAGGGTTAATCTTGTTCTTGCCTCCCATCCCCACAAAACAATCCATCCATGTTATTGCTGCAGACATGTGGCCCTCACATCAGTCAGTTTGCAGGACTGAGACCAAAAAGCATAAATGGAAATTAAACCAACCAAAGCAAAATGAAAATAGCCCTTATTGCATGTTTAGTTACAAACACCAGAGTGGCAAGTAGGTGAAGGATGCAGATCTTGCAGTTCCATTATGGCCTGCCCAATAAACACTGGAAAAAAAACAGATGTTGGGCAGTCACCCTTTTTCATTCAAGCACAATTAAACCCCCTCTATTCCATCACAGTATGTACAAAATCACATACAGTTAAATAAACAACTGAAAGCGTGAATGAGGTTCTAATATACAGTACTTTCACACAGCCAAAGCTATTTTATTTTACAAGACAAGGCTTTTGCGTTCATCTTTGTTTCTGAAAGCCCAGTAAAAACAGCGTAGACTACTTAAGCAAAATTTAAGAGACAACTTACAAAGTAAAATTTGCATAGCACTGTAAATCTGCGTATTTGTTTGGGCACAGTTCTCTGTAAAAACTACAGTAGGTGACAGGGTTGGGTTTTCTTAATAGCTTCTTATTTTTCACCAGATTCAGACACACTTCTTCTGAACATCATAAAGTCAAGTGTACGAAATAACTGTAAAAACGTACAAAAATATATACACATGCACAGTAAATGCATACCCTGTATACAGTTTTATTACTCGTTAGATTTGGCTAATAATGATCATCTGGTGACTTACACTTCCCTCCAAATGGCAGGTTTGCAACACAACAATCAGCTTAAGGAGGGCAAGTTTCCTCGGAGAGAAGGTTTTGATTAAAGCTACAGTACTTGCTGGTGATGTGAGGAGTGAGCGAGGCGCCGGGCGGCAGCGGCTGCCGGGCGTTCAGGCGAGTTCAGCATTCAGATGTCACAAGGGACAGCCCAGACACAGCTGAAGCGAAGGGACACGAAGGGACACAGCCTGGCTCTCTGCACAAATGCACATGCACGGAATAAAGGAGGTACACAGAACCCACTCATGCCTCGGGGAGTAAAATTTAATTCCTGATTAGGCTCTGCTACCTACTCTCCCTTCCTTCGCAAATTGTATTTCAGTAATTAGTAACTCATTGTGTTTTCCTTAAGAATGCACGCTGGCCAAAATGAAAAAAGTTGTGTAAGACTGAAAATTGGTAGTGGTAGCTCCCACACTAAGGAATACTTCTAATTTAAATTTTAAAAGTATTATTATATTCTGATTGTTGCTGAAGTGTCTAATTTTAAAATACATTTTTCTCCTGGAAAGATAAAATGCTGCTTTTGCTAGTGGTTTTTAGAACTAGACTATCTGCACTCAAGTGGTCTCAACAATGAATGTGCACAAATAATCCTTCTTCTTTACAATCTCAAAAACTGAATGGTGGCTGGTAACTACAGGTGTAACATTTTAAGAAATACAGGCAGCTTTCTAAGAGCCTAGAGAGGTCAAGGATCAGAAAAACATGTTTGTCTTAGATGCCAATCCCATGTCTTCCCAATTCTGAAGTATGAAATATTTTCATGACTTTTTCTGGTGGCTAACACACTTGGCACAGACCCTGTAATGCTGACTTCCAGAATGTTGTCACTCCAAACCACAGCAGGTAAATAACACACAATCAACAGCCTGCAAGCATCTTGCTGCAGAGACAGATAAACCAGCCTTAAAGACAAACAGGTCAGAATGAGAGCCCCCACCTGAAACAAGCCCTTAAGAGGAATTCTGACCCATATCACATGAACGTGGCAAGGGTTATTTTGTAAGTTGTCACAGGGACGTCTCACATCCACATTACAGTCAGAGCTTGCCTCTCACATAGTTGTCTCTGCTTTGCAAAGCTCCTGGTGATCACTCAGTTTTCTCGGAAAAACAATTTGGTCAGTCAGTGTTCCTGCTCCTCCCAGCGATGCACCTTGCAGTGTTCCTTCTCCCTCACAGCTCCCAGCACAGCTGTCACCTGCTTCAAATCCCAGCTTCAGTCAGCACCAGCAGCTCTGGAGCCACCTGTTATGATCAGAAGGTTCAAGCAGCTGTGATACACTGGGTGGGAGTACAAATTCAGCATTCCCATTGCAGGGATGAGCTTCTTTGTGTGGGCACACAGCAGAACGTGGAGCTATCGCCTGCTGGGGATCAGAACTTTCACACCAGGGGACAGAAGCGCTTAGCATCCAGGAGATGCCGTGAGCTATCCTGCTGCATCCCATCTTTAAAGGAGATCAAGGAATGGATTCTTCACTTTGATCTGTGTTGGCCTCCAGCATCTGCATAAAACACTTTGGTGAGGTCAGCCCAAGCCTGGCTTTAGACTTCTTAGCAAATACTTCTCCAAGATGCCAAAAAAAATCAGACTGTATGTCTTCAACCTGAAACACTCTGTGTAGCGTGAAGTCAGCATTATTAAAAGCCTCCAACCCCACATTTCTTCAAAAGGTACATGAAGCAAAACCAGGTCTTGGGGTAGTCCCAAGACAGAAACAGTACTTTCAGCAAATATCTGATGGACAGTGACTCCCTTGCTTTCTCATTATTCCAGGTCTTAATAAAAATCTTGTCCCAACTCCCTTTCACCAGAGGAACCTGTTGCCAGATAGGGAGGGCCTGTGTGAATAGGCCTGGGAAGGTCTTCTCTTCCCTGCTAGAAGTTTTGCTTTGAAGCAGCAAAGTTGCATTATCACGTAGCAGAAACACAACCCTGTCACTTCAGACCTAGAGCTGTCAACCAGCGCCAAAATTCAGGAAGACAAAACCCCAGCCACGAGAGACAACTGCTGTAGGACTGGTTGAACTGGAAAGCTCCGAGTTCCTGCTAAGAGGTTGTAACCAAACCATCTGCAGAAGATACAGGTGAGCAGATATACAGACATGGGTGATGGAGACAAGAGGTACCACGTGGAAGTGAGCAGACACACTCACTTTTCCTGTGAATACCAGGCAATTAGGACACAGGCAGCAGTCAGATTCATTGGTCAGTAATTAAGTGTAGAGCCCTTCGAGATAAGTGAAAGCAGAACAAAGGAACATTACCCATGCTCTTTGTGCCAGAGACATATTTTGCTCAGTGATGCAAAGTCAATTGCAAGAGCACATTCAGCCCACAATGAGCAAGAGAGAACTGTAATCCTACTGAACCAAGCCCTTCAGATACCACATCCTTCTTTAGCATCGGCTCTTTGTGCCTTCCTAACTCAGAGGTGCCACATGGCCAGTAGTCCCTGAGCTATCTCAACAGGTTATCAGATGTAGGTCAACATGATGCTACCTTGGAACTGCAAATCCCACTTGGAGAGCAGCAACATTGCTGTTGGTGACAATGACAAGTGCTACCAAGGCCAAGAGCACACATCTATATCTGTCCATGTCAGTCTGAGAACCACTCCTCTTCAGAGTCAATGCTGAACTCCATAGCAGTCAGCTTGCAAGTCCATACTGAAAAACTCTATTTACTCCAAACAAATAAGCAGTAAATGAAAATTCTGAAAGGTGGAAGGAAGAAACACTCCCATAGCTTTAAGTTTATTAAACCTAGCACAGTTGAAAAGCAAAAGACAAAAAACATGATATATTTTTGTTTATTATTGCTCTTAAAGGGCTCGGTAGTCAAATATACAAGCTATGCTCTATTAAACCAGAAGAAAATAAGATATAAAATCTATGCTCACTTTTCCAATCCAATCCACTTGCTAATCTTCATTAGTGACATTAACTTCAGCTATTTCCAGTCATTTTAATTTATACATACTCCGTGTACGTGTGCGCGCGTGTGTATAAAAACCCCTATTTGAGAGATAAAACTCAAAATTAAGAGATTTGTGTTGGTTTTGTACTGTTTTGTGCACTGCTGTAGGTTTCAGTTTTTCAAGTGGTTACTGATATGTCTGTTCAGAAGAGCGAAATTTTAAGTATCTGATGATGTATTTATTATATTTTCAAAAAGAAAGCATGACCAATAAGTTATGATAAGAAAATATGAAAAGTTGATTATTCTCCCCTTGATGTACATGCACTAATCCCATGATCCTGAATAGGGAGTTACATGCACTAAGAGGAGAAAAGGATCCTGTAAAGAGAAAGGCTATTAATTCCTTTCTTCTCTAAGCAGCTCCCCTCTTCTCAGCTTTAAGAAGGGATTTATTTTGTGAAATTCTTGTCATGCCCATTAATATACTGCTCAAAATGTAAGTATAAAACATAGTCAATGGTCAGCCTGCTCTGCAAGCCTCTTCTGCTAAGCCAGTACAACTTATATATACTCATTATCATCTTCAGGAAGCAAGTATACAGCATTTGTAACATCTTTCTAGGAAGCAAGAATTATACCCATTACTGAATTACTTAAGAAAAAAAAAAGAACAACAACAAAAAAAAAGAACCCGCCCCACTGTTCTCAGTCCTCTGGTTAAAAACAGGGAAAAGCCAGAGTTAACTTTATCAGCATTTGGATGTCTGACTGTATTTGAAGACAAAGTATAAAAACACGCAGCAAGGAAAACAGAGTTATGGCTAGGCTCTGCTCTCCTCAGTTCCCAAAGCACATTTCAAATTCCACTAACATTTGCAACAGATTTGCAGCCCCTCTCTTAGGGAAGTTTTATTGAGGGGACAAAGATGACACACTAACGTTGGGGGTCTGGGTACAAGGATTCAGCGAGGTGGAGTCTAACAGGAGACAGACAGAACTCAGGTCATCCTTCAAATGCTCTTGTTGAAAAGACCACAAATAAAAATCAAGTGCATGACAGAACAAGTGATTAATGACCCCAAGTAAAATATTTTTCTAAGTTACAAAATTGCTCTTCCAGTGTTTGAAAACAGAAAAACCTGTGGGAGAAGAGGTTACATTCCAACAGTCAAGAGCAAATTTGGAAAGAAGGTAAATTATTACTCTCTTATCTTGGTTACTGGAGCAAAGATGAAAACAACAACCAGTGCTTTGATAAAATCTGCTCTTTACAAAAGTGAGATAAATATTCTAGTGGCAGCTGGGTTAAAGATACCGACCCTGAGGGTTAGCTTCTGCCCTCAGCTCAGATCTGCAACTCATTTCACCCACTTCTGCGAGCAGCAAAATGCAGATTGTGACCTTCAGACTTGAACACACAGGTATAGTTACCATCCGTTTGCAAATAATTCTCCAGCTATGCATACAGCAGCAACCTACAGAAATCTCTGAATCTCTGAATGTGCGTTCATAAAAAAGGGAGAGAAAAGGAAGAAAAAGAAAGGAAAAAAAAGAAGCAGGTACAGACATGATTCTGTGCTCTAATTTTCAGTGAAAAAGACCAAAATGTCAACAAGCAAAACTAAAGATACTTAAAATCCCTGAAGAGACCTTATACTCTTTCTAATGCTTTAACAGCACAGTTCACCTTGCAAAAAAACTTCACATGAACATCTAAAGCATGTCAAGTCAAAAGAGCAGCACACCCTGTCCTGACACACACAGGGTAAGGTCCTGGCCCCATCTGAGTCCATGCTGAAACTCTCATTAGAAGTTCAAGAGATGCCAGCATTCAAAATCTGACTGCTACAGACCTCTCTTTTTCACATTATTTTGCAAAAGAAGACATTTTGAAAACTATTGTGCTGATTTCTAGTGCTGCCTCCCAGTTTACTGAGAGAGGTTGGCTGAACTGGACTTTGGTAATGAGAGATGCAAACAGAAATAAAAGGAGAATTGAAAAAATTTCCTTCTTTGCTAAACTCTAAATCCCACAGTCAACCACTAATTCAAAAAACCCAAACAGATCCAAAATTATGGAACATGTTTGATGTGAAACAGGGCAAACAGCACTCAAGACTGAAGTAATATTTTGAAATTAAACAGCCTTGAGCAGTTAGCAGGAGATAGGATGAGAATTTTATCCTATTGGATCTGCTCTATGGGATGTGCTGATGGATAACATGCTGCTTCCAAACTCCAGTATTCCTTCTCCTGCATTACAGAAGTCTTAAGATGTTACCTGAAAATAAAAAGTGTCAGTGTAACATACAAACAGGATTTCATCTGTAGTCATGACAACATAGCCAAAAACACTCTAACCCAATGAACACCTGTCAATTCATTTAAGGAGGGTGTTTTTTCCTGGCTCATTAGTAAGAGAAGCTGGAAATCAATAAACGTTACATTGGCTTTAGCAAGAGGAAACATTCAATGGCTCCTGTTGTAAAAGTGAGTGTAGTGCTCTTGACAGAAACCAGTGTTTTCAGTCATCTGAAGTTACATGTGGCCATGGCCAATGCCCTCTTTTCTCCCCCATCCCAAGTCCCCCAACAAAGCAAGAAAAATTAGTTTCTTCTTCCACCCCACCCCAGATTTTCTCCCACAGCTTGACTACAGGAATCCTTGATCAGGCAGAAGGTTGGTGCATTCTCTTCAGCCGATGCCTCCAACTTCTTCATTCTTGGCTCAAGTTTTATTCATTAATATTAGTCATCAGTTATTAAGAAAAAGATAGTTTCTAAGTGTTTGTTGTTGTTTTTTAACTGAAGTTAATCGGATACCATAGTCTGGTTATATGTGCTGAACTGCAGCCATCAGTTATTCCTTTTTCTTGAATTCCTGGTTGCCATAGCTGGAGCCTTTTTCTATTTCAGTTACTCCTATCAGTCTACGAACTCCAAAGGAAGCTTTAAAATACAACAGAGAAATGAGAGGCACATTAAAACCAGTCCAAGCACCTAAGAAGTTACATGTAAACACACAACACGTGAGTTAACCCAATCCCCAAGTCAGCAGTGACCAACAGTGCACTGTACAAGGCTGCACAGGGATCACAGGAAAAATGACACTCAAAGAGAGGGACAATCTAGATTTAAAAATATAATTACTGCTTCTCTTGGTTAACAGGACATGTATCATGAACACTGAAGCATATCCTCTCCCTCTACTTCCCCTTCCTTCATTGTTAGGATTTTCTTGTTGAAGGGGTAGGGGGGGGAAATTTGGTGGTGTTTATGTATTTTTTGTTTGTGGTGGTGGTTTTGTTTGGGTTCTTTTTTAATTCACAAATTATCCAGTACAAGTATTTTTTCTTCAGGCATCATAACAATGGGCTACAAGACTCACCTGCTACTACTACAGCTTTTGTTTAAGATACGAAGGCAAATTTGCCCAGATTAAAGCTTTTGAAACAATAAAAATGCTGTACAATAGAAAGACTAATGAGTGAGCTCCAAACATTTTCCTGCAAGCCCCATTCTCATTAATTAATACACAGAACTTATTGGAGGTAAAGGCTGGGCTTGGCATCTTCTCTGCTTTTATTACCTGCTCCTACAAGTCCCAGGAATGCAAGGATAAGGAGAGGTGATCCACTTGCAAAAACTCCAAAGCCAAATGTGAAGAGAGGAGAGAGGAGAACTGTGGCCCAAAAAAGAAAGTTTAGGAGAGTCCATGGTCTCCTAGGAGGTTTAAACTGCTTGCCAGGAAATACACCTTCCTGATTATACATCTCTTGCAAAGCATCCTGGGGGAAAGAGAAAAGAAAACTGGTTCATGTTTGCACCGAGCAGCCCAAGATTAGTCAGCTCCAGGCCAACACCAGGGACAGTATCTGTGCTACAAACTCATCAAGAGTGCACAGCATCCAATTCCATCTACTGTCACTTATTTGTGCATTTCTGTTGACCATCCAAGTGACCTTTAAGCCTTTTGAAGGCAATTTTAGCACCCTCAAAACAAGAAACCTTATTGTCCTCTCCACTACCAAATACCTTCCTCTTGCCTGTTAATTGCTTAGGAATTTAGGGCAGCTTCAGGTCAGAGACCACTTCAGACACTACCAGCCCTCTTAGCTTTTCCTTCCAGAAAGGTCAGCATGATTCAGCACAGCACAAAAATGCTGTATGGAGAGCCAGGAGGGAAGGTCAAGACATGAGCTGAGAGCAGAGACAGCACCACACCAGCCTTAATCCCCCCACTGCAACTGAGCCACTGCACCCCAAGCTCAGCCTGCAGAGGTGCAATGCTGGAACACACCACTCAAAGGAACAAGGTGTGCCCACCACCTTCCCTCAGTCTGCAAGATTCTTTAAGGTTTCCAAGCCTTTACCAAGTATGGGTCAAATCTCTGGTGCTTCTTTTTTTTATTTCTTATTTTTTTTAATTTCCTTTACAAATGGCTGAGAAGTGCAAGGCATTCCTTGCCAATAACAGCCCTTTGAGGACACATCCTTTGTGCAGGAAGAGGATTCCAGTTACAAAGTCATTGCAATAAATGGAATGAGAGGATTCCAGTTACAAAGTATTGCTAACACTGTATGATCAATATGTATAACACCCATGTCCATAAGCAATACCTCCTTGTCAACATCTCAAAATTAAGTTGAACAGAGGTACAGCAAACATCAGGAGAGATGATAGGAAATGGTGTCACATTGCATCAGGACAGGGTTAGATTGGACATTAGGGAAAAAAAAAAACCTTTCATTGCTTTGCAATGAAAGCAATAAGACTGTCCAGGGAACTGGTGAAGTCATCATCCCTGGAAGTGTTCAAAAAATGGATCTGGCACTTGAGGACATGGTTTAGTGGTGAAATGGTGGTGGTGCTGGGCTGATGGTTGGTCTCTACATTCTTAGAAACCTTTTTCTACCTCAAAGACTCTTTGGTTCTATAGACCTGCTAAGGGAAGGTAGGGGTAGAAGATGATGAGCTACTGTTCTTTGTAAGATAACCCCTCTCCTTAACTGAATCAGAGCTCAGATAGTCAAATAAATTAGGTTGAAATAAATATAGTGAAACTCAGAACAATTTGCTGTATCTAGAGGCTGAGCATAAGCCTGGCAATGCTGCAGCACAGGTCATCATAGCTGGGGAAAGCCCAGTATACTTAAACTTTCTGTGCTCTGCTGTCTCCCCACAAAGATAAGCAGCATAGAAATCAAAATACACTTTTCAAGTTCAATAATCCACTACTTAGGGCTGGACAACAATTACAGCTCTCTGCTACTCCCCACAGAAGTGTTAAATCTGTGGTTGAGAAAACAATCATCTAAGGTTAGAAAAAGAAATGACACAAGGGAAAGCTGGGAGCCCTCTGAAGGCACGCTGGGCATGTGCTTTATCAGTCCCTGGCAGCACATCCCAGGGACTGTCTGTCCCATGTCACACACCACTGCAGAAGTATTACCAGGAGGCAGAAGGAAAGTGACAGTGGAAGAAAAATGAAAGCAAAGAACAATTGCAGCTGAAAGCTGGGACCAGCTCTCTCTGACAGACAGTTATCACTCTTCTTGAGTGCCTAAAAACACCCACAGGGAAAATGGAGCTTTTAGAAATGCATGACAGAGATCCAAGTGCTGAAAAATGTAAAAAGACAGTGGATTGCTATTAGTCTTCCACAGCTCAGGCATATCTCTAAATTCCATTGTGCTTCCCGGTAATTTGAGACCTCACTACCCAGCCCTCTGCTGCCAAGGGGCTCCTCTGTCCTGCTCCTTCAAGCATTTTGAGGGATGGCTGCTTAGTTATACATAACATCCTCTCCATTCAGTGCAAGAGTGTGTATTACTCACTGCCTTAATACACTCCCCTGTGCAAGAAAAGACAGGCAAGAAAGCAAAGCTATTTACCTTTTCCTGGTAAAGCTTATGAAGCCAATTTGCAGCTTCCTTTTCATCTTGAGGGATATCTTCCAGAGGAAATCTCCTAGTTTAATAAAGAGATTAAAAAATGGAAAGAAGAAAAACAAAAAAAAAATAATTAAAGGAAAATCCAGTTATTTGATTTTATCCCTCTGCTAGGGAATATCTTCCACTCACTGAAGGTTGTAAATCACAAACAACACTGTCACTGATGGCAGAGGTCTTAAACACAGAGAACTGGGACTTAAGAATCTGAGGTTTTAGGTTGGGAACTGGATGCTATTTAAGACAGAAGAAACTGTACAAGCTCCTGTCAGTTTCAGAGCACATCAGTAAAAGATACATTTCCCACTGAAACACTATTCCTCCTTCACCAGATCTACCACTGGCTGATTCCCAGTGAGCTCAGAAGGAGGCACTCGGAGCAGGGAAAACACAAGCAAGCAGAAAACCCAAGGATAATTGTTTGTTACATTTTGGTAGTGAAAACCCTATTTTGGAAGTAATGAGAGAGGCAACTAAACATTTGATTTAGAACCATCTCTAAGGAAAACACCTGCAGTGACTGCACTTGCCCCTCTTTGCAGCCCCTCAGACTGAGGCACACAGTTCTGGGGGTGTGTGACAATTATGCCCACTACCAACCCATGACCTGACCTCACTGAGAACAGGTCCCTTGTCAGAGCCACTCTGTAGTGGTGAAGAGCCAAACATCCTCCTGCATTCTTTTATTATCTGAGACCTTTCCAACCCAGACCCCTCTATGATTCTGTGAATATGTTCTAACGCATTTCCAACGATTTTGGCAGCCCGTAAGCCAACTGAACACCAGATCTGGCAGATTTACTTACATGAGCTCTAACAAGAGACACTGCTCAATTCACGTAAATAATGCTCAGTAGAAGCTCAGTGAGAAGTCATTTGCTGGAAGCTTTCTGGTGAAGTTGCCATGGCGCTGCTGTCACCACTAGAGGGGACTCACAGCAATAACATTTGATGATTTCCTGATTATTTCCTCTGGAGTCAGTGGGGATAAAGACTGGATCTACTGCAGAGGTAAGCTGCTTACCTCTGCACAGGTAACTACATCTGCATATACCAAGAACAAGAGCTTATGTGCTTCCCTTCTCTGAGCTACATTAAGTCTGTTGGCACAATAAGGACATGCTCCATTTTCAGCAAAAATATCTGTAAAAATAGTCTCCTTACTCTCATAGCTTCTTCCCCAAAACAGAGAAAAAAATGTAGAAAAGCACCTTGAGAATATTCATTCCATCCACAAACATATTTTAAATCAAAACTATCTAAACACAGCCATTTGTAGGGTACAATTAATAATTTTACCTGGCAACATCATCCTCAACAGAATTTTTCGAACCTGAACCTCTTCTAACACTATTGAAAACTACATTTCTCCCCATTATCCCTCCAAGAAGTAAAATAAAATTGCATCTCCATGAGCAAAAAAGGATATTTAACTGAAGGCTGCCACAGTTCAGTGTATAATTAATAATTATACAGATGTGCATCCATGCATGTGCACCTCAGATCCAGTTACATATCCCACATGCATGTGCCATCAGTGTGGAATTACAGGTGGAACGGCCTGACCAGCTGTTTTGCTGGCTGCCAAATTGTCTGCTCACTTTCCTCATCAAGAATGTTTGGCAAGTGTAAACAGTGAAAATGAAACCCCTTGCAGGTGAGCAACTCCACCTCTCCACGGACAGCTCCACAGTAATCTTTTCAGCTAAGAGACTAAAACGTTGTAGATATTGCAGCAACACACAGACCCAAAGCCAGACGGGAAGGGTGTGGGGAGGGAAGGAGAAAGGCTTTTTTTTTTTTTGACTTTTAAAAACCAAGCATCAACTTCATCATCAGAATACATCAATGTTTTCCAAAGAGTGGGTGAAGCCCCCAGAGAAATAGAAGCAAACTGTCCAAAGAACTGTGGAAAGAATAACCAGGTCATGTCTCAGGTCAAAACATAAAAGGGAAAAGAAGAAATTCAACAGGATTGACCATTTTTATGATCACAAGGAAGCCTTTGAAGCAGAAGGCAGCAAGGAGAAAGCAAGAAAGAGAAGGAGCAGGTGTGCATGCAAATGTGTATGTGCTGGATGGGGTGAGGCGTTAGCAGCTACTCCTTGAGGCAAAGGAACAGTGAGGAATGTGAGCAATGTCCCACCTCATTCATACAATGTCAGAACTTCAGCATTTTTTAATTTTTAATCTGCTGATCAAACCATGTGAGCCAGGGAGAGAAACTGGCATGTAAAAGAGCTATTTCCTACAAGTGACCACTGAAGCTGAAGGATAAGGAGAAGTTGAGTGGACTACAGGAAAGGAAATTACGCTCTAAAATCTGAATACACTCCAATGTGCCAAAGTATGCTTCTTATGGCTCACCTTTATCAGTATATGCTCACCTTACACACATATCTGCTTCATATTTCTTTCCATAAAGAATTCCTAATAAAGATGGGTTCTTGTTTCCTCTGAAATTTAGTGTTACATCATACACTGCTGAAACTGTTAAGGAAAAAAAAAGAAAAAAGAAAACAGGGCTGTTACAGTAGCAGTTCCAACAAGCACCTTCTGGCATCCTTTCTTGAGACAGCAACAGAGCCTTGTGCAAGTCTTGCATTAATGATGTCAGAGTCCCTCACTATTTTGTGTTTACACATCACAGCTATCTGTACCAGCCCCCCCCAACACTTGCAGCTCTGTAAAACACCAGATGACTTGATCAACTAAGCAACATAAAAAGGTTTTTAGTATTTTTTAAGATTTGGATCTGACAGTTCTGTGGTAATTTACAAATTACCAGCTGACACACTGGATCCTCATTACTGCCAGCTCACTAATTGTAATGAACAGAACAGACTATGCTGTGCTACACAGTGTGCTGAATAACACATTACAAGTGCTGCAAGGCTTGGCAGTACCTGTTCCCCTGAGACACTGGACAGCAGTGGTGAAACCTTTGGTTCTGGGCAACAGGTGGTATTTCAGTTTAGGCAACCCCTTGGATTCAGCTACTTCCATACTGATGCGGTGCTTGGTCTCTGTGAAACGAGTTCCTTCACAGTACAGCAGAAACTGTGCAAGACAAAAGCAAAAAAAAAAACCCAAGGATATCCTGAGATATCAAAAGAAAGCCAGCAGTATACTGAAAATTTTTCCAAGATAAACATACATGTGCACACACTTCAATTGTCCCATTTCTTCACCAAGTATTAGGCATAAGCACTAATCCCCAACTCATTTACCATTACCTTTACATTTAACAACACTCATCCCAAATTTAAGGTGACAAAAAGACAGCCCTAATTGTGACATTTAGAATGCACAGAAAGTAGGAAATTGATTTGCTCAAGTCAATTTTAATCATGATTTCAATTACCAAGCAGGAATTCTTGATTTAAATAATCAATGCTAACTACATTTTGCACTTATATTTTCTAGTTGTTTTCCCTAGAGACTAGTCCTTGGTTCTCAGTTGTAGAATCATTAAAATGTATAGATCTGAAGCTCAAGTTCAGTCTTGAGATTTTCTAATTGGTAGGATTTTTCTGTTTTTTCTTTTCTTCCCCACACTAATCAGGAAGATATATTCAATACAATTCATATCTATATAGTCAAGCAATTAAGTAGCTTAAAATACATTCTCCAGATTCTTACTTTTTCTATCTTTGTAATGGTAGAAAATTACAATGCATTCACAATGTTCTGGTTAAGGCTTAATGCTTCACTATTCATTTTAACAAGCTGTACCAGATAATACTGAAAACTCACTTAAAATGCATAAAAAGCCTCTTAATGTTTTATAAGCCAAATAACTGTACATTACATGTGCTGCTATAAAAGCAAAACTGAGAATTTATCAAAATCTTTGCATTCAAAGCTCTAGGAAGGTTAAGGGGTTGATTACACCACTATGCTGCTGCAGTGAAGTCTAATAGTGTTGCATACAATGAAACAGAGATGTTTTATCCTTGATTTTAAATAATGTTAAAATAGAAAGGAAAAAATCTAACTGCAGAAGCATATATAAGTTTGCCCATTTGTTCTCAGAGACTTGCTGGGAAACCTGTAATTTCATGGATCAATGGACACACTAACAGTAACTTTCAATCAAAATCCATGGTCTTTGCTGTCAAATTCACTCACTTGTCCAGAAAAGATTTTTTGTTGATGTGCCTTTTCAGCTTACCTCCTAAAATGTTATACAGATGTAGCAATCAAATGTAAGCTTTCTTTTTAAATGGGTAAAAATAAGTTTGGACAGAATCATTAGTGTTACACAGGCCTGATTTATAAATTATTCTCAAGTTTCTGAACTGTTTCCCAAATGACTTCCCTTACCAACAGGCAAACAGCAGCTGTCTGCAGCATATCCCAAAAGAGCCCCTGAAACAGAGCATGGCTTTTCCCTGACAACTCTTGGAAGCGAGCACACCTTCTCCTGGCACTTAAAGCCACAGGCAGCAGTCTGTCACCATTTCACTTCTAGCAGCCAGTACCAGAGGAGGGACTCAACACTTACCCACATATATTCAGGATAATCAGACAAACGTTTCAATCCCTCAATAACTGTATCTCTGTCCTCTTCCCATTTCCTTTTGCAGAAAACGATCTCGAGGAAGTACCACGTCCAGCCAATTAGGGGCACATATAGCAGCTCTCTCTTAGCAAGAACTTTGGAACTCTTGGAGAAAAAACAGAAGTGACAATCCAAAAATGTCATTTGCTGATTTGTGCAACGAGGTTAAACACTTTAAAGCTAAGATGATGGGAGTTGTATCTGGGATCTTAAATGCAAAGGAACTGTTGATAGATGGGTTTTGAACAGACCTATCACGCTGCAGAGGAAGGGAAAGCTCACAGCCCACGTACCCCCAGCACTCCAAAGCGCTCCGTCATCGTCCAGCCGCACAGGAAGTCAATCTCAAAGTTGTGGTTCAGGATGATGATGACATGTTCCTTCCCAAAGGTTTTCACCGTGGCCTCGTCTGAGAACAGGGTGCATTCTGTGCCTGACCACCATTCCAGCAGCATTACCAACTCTAGCGAACATGATGAAGTTGGAGAGAGGAGTTAGGGGGACCCCTCACAGAAAGCATTTAGAGTTTCATCCTCAGCCCCATTCACTGCCCAGCCGCTCCTGACTCCCAACACCGTCACCTTCCCAAGCAGAAATGAAACAAAAGCTTGGAAGGGTACAGACCAAACCACAAAACCATCCCTAAGCAGTATTTAAGGCACCAGACATATGCATTATAGATAATTCAGAAAGTTTTTAACAGCAACAAATTTGGGCATTGCATTACAAATGCAAAATTTCACGACCACTGGAAAAAAAGCCCAAAGACTTTTATGCCTGAAAAAAAAGACAGTGGAGCTGTTGATTGTTCCACTAAATGAGCACAGTTCCTCCCAGGTGGAATACAAATTATGCATAGATGCAGCCTAATGTTTTCACTCCACATGAAACAAGCCTTATGGAGGTAAACAGACCAATAAAGGTCTTTTAAAGGGATGCAGTGACATAGATCTTCTGTGATAGATTTTAATATTACAACACAGTGCTCTAATTGTTCTGCATTATGATCATCAACACAGAGTTAAAAACAGCAGAGAATTGAGCTAATTTATCAAAATACCTGGGCAAATACAGGAATGGTAAATTTTATCTTTCTTTTACTGCAAAAGAATGATCCCTTTTTCCTCCATTTACTCCAACTTCAAAGTTGGAGTATTTATTCAGCCCTGAGCATTTGTTACCCTTTCTTATTTTCCACCTCCCCTTTTTTCATCATAAAACCCCCTTCCACTTAAATTCAGCATGCACTGACTGTAGTTGCTATGGTTAGCTTATTTCCCTCATTTCAGAACATCGAGGCAGATGGAAGGCATTGCTTGCATCATGGGACAACTATAAAAAGTATGAGGATAGTTCATCCTCCCAGTAGGAAGATTTGCTTCCCTGCAAACCGTAGTCATTGGTATTTTCTCATTTCAACGAGATATGGATGAAATAAAAATGTGGCCACACAAATACGGCAGTTAAAAAGAGTCCAACCCTTCCCACATGACTACACCTGCAGGGTTACCCCTCTGTTCCCTCTATCAGGCTCTGCCAGGAGGTTTTTCAGGGAGATTCTGTTTTTTTTCCAAATAAGGCAGCACCTTCCTGCACAAAGGTTTCTGATCAGTGAGATCAGACAAGGTCAGCTATCTGTACTGCTAAACAAGAATTTGGGATCCAGTCTTGCACCATGCTAGAGAGAAGGCAAACACAATATTTAGGTGAATAATGGGGAAAACCAGTTCTGGTCTGCTGAGGGTACAGAGCTCACCTAGCACTGCTTTTTTCACTCATGACCACTTACCCACTGGGGCTATTCCCCTGTATCACTTCCAGCACTTGCTCATTTGGAAGCAGGACAAATTTATGCACCTTGCTGGCCAAGACAGCTCAACCCCAGTCAACTGGAAATACGGCAGAGGAAAGACAGAATTGTTCCTTTACACCAGGTACAGGTTTCTATCAGTGCTTCCCAGCTTTGCATGCTTTGTGATCACTTCCTTTTGCTGGTTACCTGGCTCAGTAAAAGGGGAAAGAGGACAGCAAGAGTGTCCTCAGAGCACCTTCCAAGCAGGTGGCCAGGAGAATGGAGCAGTGGTACCAAACACATCGTGGTACTCTGCGCAATTTTCCCTTTCCATTGTTCACTGTACCAAGGAGGAACATCTCCAGGACCTGCTACATTTTCTTATAGAAATTATAATAATTTGGTTGTGCTTCCTCTTCAAAATCAGGAAAAAAAACCTGCAGAGGCCAGTGTGGATGACTTTCTGCAGAACATTTCTTTCACCTTTCTCCCTAAAACAGTGGAGGATTTGCCAGAGTTCATACTGAGAGAGGAGGGCTGACAAGCCAAAGGATTAACACGAGGAAACAGATTGTCCTTTACAAGTGTGCTGACAAATGATGTAATTATAACCAGGAGTGGGCTCATTTCCTTTTTTCGCTGTGTGGGTTACAGCTCCTTTGCGTGGCACTGATCCTGCCAATGCTACAGCAAGAACATCCTTCTGAATAAAGGAATGGGAACACTTGCACTGCCCAGGAGAGTTCCTACAGGGAATAAGCAACAAGCTGGGCTTCCCACACACCAAAGCAGCTGCATTTACAGCCTCACAAGCCCTCCTGAAACAAAGCAAACAAGGGGCACAGCACAGCACATCCCTCAGCTGAAAGTACCAACATTTGAGAGGTTATTTTTGCAACTGGACTAACCCAAACACGCCGCGCTCTCCAAGGGTGTGATTCATCTGAAAGAAGCTGACGTGGGAGAGCTGCAAGTACAGACTACCTGTCACGAATTTATGGGTTTATGTTGAGGCCAGAGCCTGAGAGACTTCCTTCCCCAGATGTCTGTCAGGAACATTGGATAGAGTCTCTCTCTGTCCCTTTTGGAAGCTGAGCTTTAGGTATTTCAGATACAGTAAGAACAGAGCCTGGTTTTCAGTAGAGAGCCACATGCAGGATTAGCTGTGTATCCCTCCCTGCACACTGATCCTCGGCCAGCTTCTCTTACAGACCCCCAACCTAAAACCACAAACAGCTTGGAGAAAGTGAGCAAAACGTAGCATCCAGAGCAGAACACCAACTTACAGGTTCTTTGCCAAAAGGCTTCTCCATTCTGAAATATATTTCATTATGAATGGCAACACTAGAGCTAGTACATTTAACCCAACTTACCTAAATTGCTATAAATCACAATTGAAGAGCATATTCTCTCAGCTCTTCCATTACAGGCCACCAGCTCTCTGCAATCCCACATAGCATTTACATTAATTTTCAGAGTTTAATTTCCCAATGTGTTAATTTATAACAGGTTATACACTAGGGGTTATCCTACATACAACCCAATTATCTACTCAGATTCTCCAGACCTCTTTGAACAATGGTGTGGGTTATTTCCAGTGTTTAGAGTATATAAGACAGCAGCATTTTTAAAGTGTGATTTTTTTCATGCACAATGCTAACTAGGGGCTGAGCCTAAAGCTTTACAGGAATAAGCAGCTCATATCCTCAGAAAAGTCTAACTATTAATACAGCAATAGTTTTCAGCATGAGATGATATTCTAGATTACAAAAAGCACAAAGAAATTCTTACAAGCAAATTAAAAATAAAAACTCCTATGTTTTCCCACTCTTATCCAACCAAAATACTTTTAAAGTTTGTACTAAGCTCTTCTGTTATCTTCTATTTTTCCTGACAATTTGCCTGCTAGTCTATTTAATTTCCTCTCTCCTGTGCTTCTCAGTGGGCAGGACAAAAAGGACAGCAAAGGCAGGGACAACAAGCTTAAAAAGAGACTGAACCAGACACCTCAGAAAGCTTTTGTTGGCGATACTTCACATCGATGATTTACTAAATGTGTGTGTCTGTCAGTGGACTGCTGAACTGAAATTTCAGTGCTCATTCTGGTGACTCATTTACCCAAAGTGGGAGTTGGATGCTGAGCTGAGCACTAAGGTAAGTGGCCATGCATGCTGGGAGGGGATAGAGAATGGAAATCGATTAGATGATTCACTGCTGAAACAGGAGGTGACATTTGGGTTAAGGAGCCTTCTAAACACACTAAATATTTTCAGAAATCCAGCCCTCTGTTATGCTCTGTGAGGAAAAGAAGAAGGCAACCAACAGGGAGGAAGTTTTGCAAAGGTCTGAAAGAGGAGAACAAAGAAGCTGCACTCAGTGCAGAGCTGACCCATGGGCAGAAGAAGAAAACTCTGACAAACTGCTCAGAGAAGAGACCCTGGCTTCAGAGATGGGCACTGAAGGGTGCAAGGGGATTCTGAAGCTTGTCACACAGCTCAGCTGCAGAGACATCTACACGAGATACTTGAAGATAGACCTCTCCCTCTGCAGCGCACACAACAAACTTGGGCTCCTACATGACCAGTATTGCTCATATGCTCAGTAACTGAGCCAGTCTCACGATTGTCCCTTAGCACAAGTGCTGATACTGACTGAAGATGGCATTGAGACAGAAATACCTCCTATCAGTCCAGAAAAGGCTGAAGGTGCAGAGGAGCTTTACTTCCCACTTTTTTAAATGACAGAATGACAACACACACCAGACCCTTGACTTCTGTATAATTTCCCAGCACTCCAGAAAAAAATAAAGGCTGTTTCGACCTGCTCTGAAAGAATCTACATCTGACTTACCATTTCTCTCGTCTCTGTGTGCAAACAGATACATGCACATACACATATTTTTTTGGTTAACAAAAGCAACAAGAAGAAAAACCCCTCCCCAGCCCTACCCCTCCCATCCCAGCATACTCACGGCTCCAAAGGGAATAGGCAAGGCGACAGTTTACTCGGCGATAAAGCTGCTTGTTGATGGGCCAGAGGACCAGCGTGCATAGTTGAATGAAGTTAATGATCAGTCCACTGACAACAAAGACGAACCCAATGAGGAGGTGAACTATGAACTGGGTCTTCAGGAAGGCAATGAAGCCCATGATAACCACTCAGAAGCGTGTGCAAGGGCCGTCACTCAGAATAACTGTCCTGGAAGAGGGAAAAAAGGGAAAACCAACAAAGGAAAGAATCAGATGGAGAGTGGAGTTACAAGCTCTGAGACAGGACAAATCAAAAGCTCTGAAACAGTCCAGGCTCATTCATCAAGAGGGACCCAACCCAATAAATACTGCACTCTCCAAGCCTGCCTCATGCAGGTCTTCACACAATAAACTGGTGATGGTTCAAATCCCTGACCAAAATAGGAAGAAATCATTATTTACAATTTACAGCCCATCAGAAAGATTACTGTTTGCTGAAGAGACTAATCTCACACCTCTCTTCAAACAAATACCATGTAATTGGGAGTTAATGCTGTGAGGAAGAGCCCTGCACTCACAGTGAGCAGCAGGGCCCTTGTGGGCAGACAGGAGCTGTATCTTTAGGGGTGCTGTCCTGAACTGGAACAGGAGCCTCACCCTGCAAAGAGCAGGGCTGGTCACACACAGCATCAGTCTGGCAAACACCGAGGCATGGAAATGGAAATCAGGTATTCCCACATCCAAAACCCATGCTGGAGCAGGTTTAATAACTTCTCACTTTGTCAAGCCACAGTTCTGTGATCAAATATACCAGTTAGTGTGGGGGAAAACTGTAAAATGATAAAAAAGCCCTAGGCTATGTAGCAGTACAAACTTGATCTGGAATGGGCATTGGTGTAGAATCTTGATTCCAATGAATTAGCCAGAGCACTTAGCTCTGAGTATGTGCAGTTTATACCAGGTGCAGAAAGACTGGCAATGTGTGAACCAGCAGAGTGCCACAGGAGCTTAGACAGCCCTGATCCACCACAAATCCTGTCAGCACAAAGTTAACCCAGCAAACTGTATTTACCAAGCCACCAAACTGAGTTTATTGCAAACCCCACACTATCCAGCACTGGACTGTTTTACCTGTTGGGTACTGGAAGCCCTGCAAGGCCAACCAGGGTATTATATATAAAACCACAGCCTCGAGGTCTCATCCCAAAAATAAAAGCTTGACCCTGATTTTCTGCCACAGTCACAGCTTGCTGATGGTTTTCATGCTCAGCTTCTACAAGTGTGGCAAATGACCAGATCAAGCAGTAGATGGTAACAAATACTTTTGACAAATCAGGCATACCAAGGTGATGTGGACCTGCTGTCTGAAAATAAAGCCCCTGCCAGTTGCAGGGAACCAAACAATTTTCACTTGCTATCTGCTTACAGTGTGCTGCTATTTATAAAACTCTACAGCAATTTTATTGTGAAAGCTTTTTTTCTTTGTCTCTTCTACCAATCAGGTACAGCCTTTCAAGGCACAGAGTCTCTAGTTTTTGCACAATTAACATCCATTTGCATCATTAGTAACCCACCCATTTCAGATGTACATTAGAGAGGCAAAAAAAAAGCCTGGTTGAACACAGCCAGTATTGTGCCTGCCACAGAAAGCAAAGCAAAGCAAGATGAATAGTATTGGAGCTCATGATAAATAATCTAAATTCTCCCAGTGTTTTTCTGTAAGGATGAAAGAAACATTTCTTCCACTAATAAATTACTTTAAGAACAGCTGTTAGGAAGCAGAGACTTCTGTTTCAAAAGGAACAAGGGGAGCCCTCCTTCCTCTTCCCTCCCCAAGAGGCTGCAGTTGTCTCACACAGCCAAAACACCACACCAGTGTTCACACATTGCCGTGTGGGAGGCAGCCGTGGCATCCAGGGACTCCCTAGCACTGGGCTTGTTTGTCTTTTCCACTGGCACACTCTAATAAATACTGCCAGACATCAAGCACCAAGCTCTTCACTCCCAAGACCAGAGTCAGTCTCTTCATCTGGTGTATCTCAAAAGCCAGTTCAAACAAGAAAAGAACAATTCTCTCCACCCCCACAAGCTATTTCTGAAGTTCTTGCTTGCCCTCTGCAGAGCCATGGGCAAGCAGCTTGGCTGATGACTGTGTCCTGTCAAACCATTCAAAGGTTGGACTTGAGGATCTTGGAAGCTCTTCCAACATGACTCTACTACCTGTGACAGTCATTAGAGCAGCACTTACAGCCTTTTGCTGCACAGCTTGGCCCCTCCAGACAGGGGCACAAAGCACACACAAACAGCACAAGGACAAATAGGGATCTCCTCAAATAAAATGGTTTGGCTCCACTTCCACAGCCTCTTGGCTTTGACAGAGTCTGTGGCACTCTGGTATTTGTCCCTTACATTAAGGACATGGATGTTTTACAGACCCCAAAGAACACATCCCTCCTCACATTGCAGCAAGATGGTTTCTCCAGCTTTGTTAGACGTGGAAAACAGGATTTATCACTCTTGCACCAGCATCCTGCCCCAAATGCTCGGCATCACAGAATCATTATGGTTGGAAAAGCACTCCAAGATCAAAATCCAGTCTTTGACCAACCACGACCTCGACAACTAAACCACAGCCCTAAATTCACATCCAGTCACTCCTTGAACACCTCCAGGAATGGTAACTCCACCATTTGCCCAGGCAGTTTCAATGCTCAACAACACCTGCCATTAAGAAATTCCTCCTGATGTCCAACCAGAGCCTTCCTGGCACAGCTTGAGCCCACTTCCTCTCGTCCTGTTGCTGCTGTCTGATCCTCCCAGTGTCGCTGCTGGATACAGAACCTGCCAGTCTCTGCTTTGACAATCCCTCACTTAAATGTATTTGACTTTTAAGAGAATTAGAAATTAACATTAATCCAGGAATTCTGTAACTTTCTGCATCCCTGCCCAAGTAGGCCAGCCAGGCAATTTAGGGACAGGGCAACAGGAAAAAGGTGGACAGCAGCTGTTCTGTTGTATCCCATGGTCAGGGTGGAGGGAGGATGTGGAAATCAATATTTGCTGAAATGAGGAAAAGTACCACTTCTTCATTTGACATATGTATTAAGATCAGATTAGTGAAATATCTAGGAAGTAAACATCTGCCCCAGTCTAAGACATCAAGTCTTAGCACTATTAATTTTTTCTTTCTTAAAAAACCTATCCATATCATCTGCATTTTTAAAGACCTGCTGGTAAAATCTTATTTTTGCCCTTGTTTTCCTAAAACACTGTAACTTCCCAGCATTGACCTTTCACCACAAAACCTTCATTTCCTCCTCTACAACCACACCGAGAACTGTGGGGAATTTCAGCACTCTCCCTGCTTTCACAGGATCAGAGAATGGCTTGGCTTGGAAGAAGCATTAAATATCACCTACTTCCAACCCCTACACCATGGGCAGGGACACCTGCACCAGACCAGGCTGCTCAGAGCCCCATCCAGGCTGGTCTTGATCTTTTGTCTGCCCTGATGTAAAAGTTCTTAAATGCTTTGCATCCTTCAGGGCTCTCTCCCTCACTTCTTTGTCTCTCAAGAAAAGGACAAGAAGACAAATGCCTTGGTGTGGTGGGCTGACCCTGGCTGGAGGGCTGGTGCCCCCCAAGGCTGCTCACCTCCTCACCTGGACAGGGAAAATACAACAAAAGGCTTGTGGGTGAAGGTAAGGACAGGGAGAGATCAGTCACCAATTAATGTCATGGGCAGAACAGACTCAACATGGGGAAATCAGCTCAATTTATTACCAGTCAGAGTGTGGTAATGAGGAATAAAACCAGATCTTAAAAAACACTTTCTCCCAACCCCTCCCTTTTTTGTTGGGCTCAACTTCCTGATTTTCTGTATTTCCTCCCACCCAACAGTGCATAGGGACAGGGCTGTGGTCAGTCCATTAAGCATCTCTGCTCCTTCTTCCCCAGAGCAAGAACTTGTCACACACTTCCCCTGTTCCAGTCCAGAGTGGAGCCCCTCCCACAGGAGACAGTCTTCCATGAACTTCTCCAATCTGAGTTCTTCACCAGCTGCTCCAGCCTGATTCCTTTCCATGGGGTGAAATCCTTCAGGAACAGGCTGCTCCAGAGTGCGTTCCTTACAGGGTCACAAGTCCTGCCAGCAAACCTGTTCCAGCCTGGGCTTCCCACAGGGTCACAGCCTTCTTCAGGCTCTCAGGTGAGCCCTTCCAGAGGCTGCAGATGGATCTCTGCATCCCCATGGATCTCCATGGGCTGCAGGGGCACAGCTGCCTTGACAGGGTCTGTAGGGGAACCTCCACTCCAGTGCCTGGAGCAACTCCTGCCCCTCCTTCTGCGCTGACCTTGGAATCTCCTGGGCTTCTCCCACAATTCACACTCCTCTCTCTGGCTACAGCTGCTGCTGTGGAGTTATTTCCCACCTTCCTTCTTCAGTACACTATCCCAGAGGTGGTACCAGCATCTCTGATGGGCTCAGCCTTGGCCAGTGGGTCTGTCCTGGACTCAAGGACTGAGCTGTGTCTTGAAGCCTCACATGGATTCTCTGATTTCCAAAAGATATAATGTGCCTCTCAGTAGAAGTCAGAATATAACCATTCTCCTTTACCCTTTCTACAGTCATGGAAGTCCTAACAATTAAACTTCCTGGAGACTTCCACCTCTGCCAAATGTCATTGGAATGTGTCACCAAGCTCAAAGCCATTAGAAGTGAGAATGACAGAAGTGCGGTTTTCATTAAGAAATCAGGTTAAAAAAACCCCAAATGCACAACATGCACATTACAGCATTTCATGACACACAGCTATTTATGAACAAAATTAAAAATTAAACCATTATTTATTCTATAAGAGAGTGTATTCAGTATGAGCACCAGATTTTAATTAATTTCTTGCTGCCATGTGTGTGCAATCCCTCTGAAGTTCATGATGTTTGTATGACTATGAGCATGAAATTAGAAACTGGCCCACTGATCCTAATATTCCAGCCCAGTGAGAATTAATGTGCTTGACAACAACAAAAACTGTGGCAGGCAGTATGTACATCTCTAGACCTTTGCCTTCAGTTTTTCTGAACATGTTTTGCCATCTTCTGCCCTGAACACCTTGTCCCCACCTTGAAATCTGGTATTTTACCTACTTTTGCTATTTGAGAAATGAGTGGAACTTTTAGATAACTGCATTTTACTTTCCACCACCACATTTTAAAAGAATGCATTTTTCA